TGACCCTGACAGTCGGCCTGAACTGGGCTGCCGAGGGCCGAATCGTACCTGGAAGGGTGTTCTGGATTTCACCAAGGGTCACACGCTTGCGCAAACGCTCGTCACGCGCAAGCAGAAAGTATCAAGCATGATTTGTTGTACCACGTGCGGGGCTTACACGTATCGCCGATGTTTCACGCTTGGTTAAGAATGTATTGGCAAGAAGTTACCAGGGGTTAAGACGACCCTCCCTAGGATCATGTCTGGCCTCCACCCTCACTATAGGAACGAGGAGGATCGTGTTACGTCCACTTCTCGAAGAGGAGTGAGCTATCTTTGTTATGCTGCCACCACTCCGCCTCCCCCAGAGGTCTCTCGGCCTGCCTTCGGGATGGAGGGACTGGTGCAGACGCCTGGGATGCTAGCGGTTCTGGCTCGCATCCAGGCGCGTGAGCTGGCGCGCGGGAGTACCCTGCAGGCGCCAGACAGCCATTCCTCTCTGCAGCAGCCTTGCACTGTCGCTCCAGCGCCCCAAGAGGAAGATGAACTTTTTGATGTTTTCGCCGCGGAGGAGGAGACCACGTACCCCTCCCCCTCCCAAACTGCCTCCTCGGTTCGGCCCGCTGCCGAGGTCGAACCCTTACGCCAGATCCGCACGGCCATCGCCCCAGATGAGGACGAGGCCCCGCTCGCTAGGCCGACGGATGATGATACTGGATATGATTGAGAAGGCTGTGCTTAACCTAGCAAGTAGGTCAGCCAAGCACAGTCTTGTTTGTCGCACATCTTGTGCGCATGTCGGCTAACTGTCGCCGCCCTCGGTCCTGCCCGCTGGCTCGCAGAGGAAAAAAAACCCTCTTTTCCGCCCCCGAACCTCGGGGGGCCTGGTGAAGCCAGCCAGGACTACCTCGGGGGGTTGTTTGTCCAAAGCCTGAAGCATTACCAGCGGCCGCCGTGCGGGGCGGCGCCGCCCCGCCAGACTCCAGGCAGGATGCCGGCACTGCGCCGCCTGCGTTGCGCACTGCGCTGCGCTCGTTGCGCGCTGCGTTGTGCGCCGCGGTGCGCGCTGCACGCTGAGCAGGGCGCGACGCGCTGTGCGCGCCTGCGCGCCCCCACGGGTGACGTACAGGCTTCGTGCTAAAACGCCAATCGACGAACGATGGGGGCTTCACTAGCAACGACGAACCTCAGCCACGGTAGGATCGGGGGCGGCAAAAGAGGGGGGTGTCCAGGAGGGGGGGTGCAAATCATGACCGGCGGCATGTGCGCGGCCCAGCGGGGGGGCCTGGGACGTAATAAAACAAGAAGAGGCGCCATGAAATCTGGGGAAATATCATGGCCCGCGCCATGATATCCATCCCCCCCCTAGACATCACCCCCCTCTTTTCCGCCCCCGATAGGAGAAACGGCCCGACAGCCAGGGCCGTTCACGAGCTGCGCGCTCGGCGCCGCAGCGGCAGCAGAGGGGTCAATGGCCGAAGTGCAGGCGCGTGCGGATGCAGGCGAGGAGGGGAAAAGTAGGGGACGCACTGGCCCGGGTCGACGCAAACAGGGGCCAATCAGGCTTGCGCATGCCACCAGAACCCGAGTCGACGCCCCCTTGGCCCTGCAGGGTCCTGCAAGATCCCGCTGCCCACCGTTGGAATTGTCACCCGTCTCTTGAATCCGGAAGAAAGGACCGTGGGAACGGCGGCTGGGGCGCCAGGCAGGCGAAAAAGAGGGAAGGACAGCCGCCAGGCTGGATAAGGGCGGCCACTTTGGAACACACCTCGCAGCGCGATGATCTTTGCGCCCCCCAGGGTGGCACGAATCAGGGGTGGGTGGCGGCGCCACTGCGCTCCATCGTGCCGCCGCAGGGGACGCGGAATGGGTAAGGAACGAAGGGGTTTCCCCCGCCCTAGATCCAAGGAGCGGGCGAAAGCCAGAGCCCCTCAACCTCAGGCGGTCCCTATTCTCGGGTCGGGCGAAAGGGGGGGATAGCAAAGGGGGAGTTTGAGAATCAGCTCGCGTAGCCGATTTTCCCGGCGCCTCCCGGCGCCGGAGGCGGCCATGCATCGAGGAATGGGCCCCTCGGTGAGGCCGAAACCAACTTTTGGACGCCCGAAATGGGTACGGAAAACATGGGTACAATGCCCAACAACACATGCTGTCCCAAACCAACAGCGGCCGCTGTTGGGCAGGCGGCCTTCTGTCTCAAATGGACACAGGCCGCCGCGGCGCGGACAGCGAGTCCTGTTCAAAATGAACCGGAACTGCTGTTGGGCATCGTGCCCATTCTTTCCGTACCAATTTCGTTCGTGCCGACAGCTGCATGCAGCAGATTTCGTAACCCACCCTACCCCAATCCCCCCCCTTTCGCCCGGCCCGATAGTCCCGCGGTTAGACTGCGTCTTGTCGTCCTCCGAGGCAGCGCCAGGGCCCCAGCCCCGCAGGCCCCGCGCCGCGGGCCCCGCCCCCCGAGGCGGCGTGGCCCGCGGGAGTTTCTTCTTGTCTTCCTCGGCAGCTGCGCGCTCTCTGCGGGGGCAGGGGCGGCGGAGGGTCAATGGCGCCGGCGCGCGATAGGGCGCGCGGGGGCAGTCGAGGAGGGCGGGACTCGGCTGGGCCTGGCGGTGGGGCCACGACGCAGCACGGCGTCGCGGCAGTGGCGCGGAGGCGGGGGCCTCCTCGGGGGGGCCCAGTTTCCCTCCGCCGAGCCGCCGGCGCCGGCGGGAACCCCAAGCCCCGAAGGGCGCGAGATCGCGCCCCGCTGGCCCATGGAACGCTGCCGGGCGCGGCCGCGGGAGCCGCGGGGCAGGCCTTGCCCCGCGGCGCGGCGGAGCGAGGCGCGCCGCCCACGCCAGCCAGTGGACAGGGCCCGCCGCGCCTCGCAGGCGCCGCGGGTCCACCGCGGCCCCGGCCGTCGCCTCCTCGGTGGCCTGCGGGCGCCGCGGGCGCCGCGGCGCTGCAGGGCCGCGCAGGACGCCCCGCCGCCGGCGCGGCCGGTCCGAAGCCCTGCTGCCGACGCGCCCGCGGCGGCCACGGCTCGGGCCAAAACGCAGGCACGACGCACAGCTCAAATGTGCAAAAGCAGGGCGCAAGGCATTCGGAGAACCGCGCGGCGTTTTTCGGTTCGGGCGTCGAAAGCTGCACTGGACAAGTGTAGCTCGACGAGGCAAGGGTGTAACGAAACCGTTGGCAAGTTGATGACCCTCTCATTGTTTCCATTGCAACAGATATAATCCTGCACCCGCGGGAATCGCCTGTCTCAAAACACTGCTACTCGTGGGGTACAACACACGCCCTGCGAGTTCCATGTGGTTTCCCCATGGATGCGAAACCCTGCGTCCCGAGAGGCTTTTCCGAGAAACCCAGACATTGGGCGGCACTGTGGCCGAAACTACTTGAAACGCAACATGCATCTTCAAGACTTAACATGTACTCGTCCCTAGAATCTGAACTTCCATGTATCTCACCACGCATGCAGTCCACCCCACAATGCGCAAGATACTCGTGCACTCTATTCAATCGGAGGTTTCCTTTCGATGAGAAGACAACATTATTTGAGGGATGAAAAAACGACTCTACCCTAGATTAAATGACAAGTGCGTGGTCTGTAAACCTCTTGGGAACCCCCAAAGCCTAGAGCCGCCAGGACGCGGCACATCACGCAGGGTTTACCCTGTCAGCCCACAGGAGTTTCAGAGCACAGCGCCTCGTAAACCAAGGTAATTAGGGGCGTTTTTCTGCCCTTGAATTACAGCGCCGGCACCACGGTGCCTGGAGCGGAAGGAGACGGAGGGGAGGGGGAACCTGCAACTAATGAGTCCGGCGCGCTTCGGTGGCCTCGCCATGGAGCAACTTGGGGGCCGCCTCGGTGGCCTCGCCCGCGCGCGGCTCGGCGGGCGCCTCGGGGGCCTCGCCACCGGCCTCGCCCCCGATGAAAAAAACTGCTAATGCTGGGCGCGGTGCACCGCGTCGGACTTGGCGTCGCCCTCCAGGGAGCACACCAAGCCGCCTGAGGCCTTCGCCCCGCTCATCGCGGCAGCTGCCGCGGCTACTGCCGCGGCGACGGCGGCAACGGTGCCGCTCTGAGCCCCCCCCGCGGCGACCGCAACCCCGGCCGCCGCCTGGACCAGGCGCGCCGCGTCGCCCACGGCGAGGCGGCCTAGCTCCTGGGTCCGCCGCCATCCCGTGATCGGCTCGCACCAACGGGCCGTTACGAGGCACGCCGGTGCAAGCTCGAGCTTCGTCAAGAACGCCCGAGACGGAACGGCTAGGGCGGGAGGGAAGAAGAGGAGGGAGGAGGGAGGAGGGAGAGGGAGGAGGAGAAGGAGAGGGAGGAGGAGAGGGAGGGGATGAGAGGAGGGATGAGGAGGAGGTACGAGGATGAGGAGGGGGAGGAGGAGGAACGATGAAAAGGGTGGTAGGGGGAGGAGGAGAGGAGGAGGGAGGAGGAGGAGGATGAGGAGGAGGAGGAGAAGGAGGAGGAGAGGAGGGAGGAGGAGAGGAGGAGGAGGAGGAGGAGGAGGAGGAGGAGGGAGAGGGAGAGGAGGAGGAGAGGAATGAGGAGGAGGAGGAGGAGGAGGAGAGGAGGAGGGGAGAGAGGAGGAGGAGGAGGAGGAGAGCACGAGAGGAAGGAGGAGGAGGAGGAGAGAGGAGGAGGAGGAGGAGGAGGAGGAGGAGGAGATGGGGATGGGAGGTAGAGGGAGGAGGCAGGAGGAGGAGGGAGGGAGGAGGGGGAGGGAGGGATGGAGGAGGAGGGAGGGATGGAGGGAGGGGGAGGGAAGGGGAGGAGGGAGGGAGGGAGGGAGGAGAGGGAGGAGGAAGAAGGAGGGGAGGGAGGAGGAGAAGGTGAAGTGAGGAAATGATGGGGAGGGAGGAGGAGGGGGAGGAGAGGAGGGGAGGAGGAGGAGAGGGGAGGAGAGGAGATGGCGGAGGAGGAAAAAGGGAGGAGGACGAGAAGAGGCCAGGAGGACGGCGGCCCGAGCCACCGGGAACACGCAGGGGGTCGCGCACAGGGGGGGGGCGGGCGGGCGCGCGGCCAGCCGGCCGCCGCCGCGGGCCGCGGGCGCAGCGGCCCGGCCGCCTTCGGGGAGTCCGCCAAGGGGCAGGGGGGCGCTGGTGCGGGGGCGGGAGTGTGAATACAGCTCTCCGACGTTTCTATTTGAAAATAGGTATGTTTTTGTTCCAACTCGGCAGTCAAACCTCGGTCTCGGCTTTCGGGGGAGGGGCGGGAAGGGAGGGAGAGGCGGGGAGGGGGAGGGGGAGGGGGAAGAGGGGGGCAAGCTAGGTGCGCTCGCGCCATATCTGACATCCGACCCCTCCCTCCCATTCCTTCTATCCGCAGACGCGTGCCATAGCCGACCTGGAACTCCACGAAAGACCCCTATCGTACGATGCGCATTTGAACAAGGGAAGCTTGTGGGACCTGTGCGACCTGGAGGACCTCTGTGGCCTGTGGGGCCTGTGAGACCTGCGACACCAGTGGGACCTGTGGGAACTGTGGGGCCTGTGGGACCCTGGCGACCTCTGTGGGACCTGTGCGACCTGGAGGACCTCTGTGGCCTGTGGGGCCTGTGTGACCTGCGACACCTGTTGGACCTGTGGGACCTGTGAGAACTGCGGGATCTGTGAGACCTGGGAGACCTGTGGGACTTGCGACACCCGCGGGACTTGCGGAACCTGTGGGACCCCAGGACCTCTATGGGACCTGTGAGGCATACGACACGTCTGGGACCCGTGGGACCGCCGGACCTGTGGGACCTGCGGGGCAAGCGAGACCTGCGACACCTGTGGGACCTGTGAGGCCTGTCAGACCTGTGGTACCTGTGGGACCTCTGGGACAGCCTGCGACAAGTGTGGGCCCGATGGGACTTGTAGGGCCTGCGAGACCTGCAAAACCGGTGGGACCTGCGAGATCTGTGGGATTCAGGAAAATGTCCCACGCTGGGACGGGAGCGCCAATTTGAACGATGGGAACGCAGCGCCGATCCGAAAATGTGGCCCACGCTGCAGAGAAAGCACCATTCTGGAAAAGCTGAGAACAATCGGATAGCACGCACCATCTGAAATGTCAGTTCGCGCAAAGCCTGTGTAGAAAACAAGACGCGGAGGGGGGTCGAGTACTCTCAAGACGTGTCCAGGGGAGAGAGGAGAATGGTGCCCATGTCGTGCAGTTGTGACGGGCTGGAGGGCAGGCGGACAGGGAGAGAGGGCAGCGAGCGAGGGAGGGGGAGGGACGGATGGCAGGGAATGGCGGGCACGGAGCGAGATTTTGTTGTTGACATCGACATCAACGATTGTGATCTACATCGACATCAATTGTTGACATTGATTTTTTTGTTGACATCGATTTTGGTTGACTTTGATTTTTGTTGACATCAGTTATAATCGACATCGTCATTGACATCGTTTTTTGTTGACATCGACATCAATGATTATACTAGGGGATGGACAGAACCCCCTTTAGTAAACCGTGGTTTGGTGAAAGCGACCTCGGGCCCAAACCTGGCGGGCGCGAGCCTGGAGAAAGACGGCCGCGGCGCCCTCCCGAGAACCGAAAACGGACGATCCACTAACCGAGGTGTCAGGGTGGGAGGTCTGTGCATCCCCGATACAAACGGGTCCGCCCGCCTCCTCGATCAGAGCTGTCAGAATCAGCCATGGCCTCGACCGCCACAGCCCTGGTGGATCTCCTCGCGCAGGCGGTGACGCACGCCACCGAGCACCGCGGCGCTCGGGCGGGCGGAGGACGCGGAAGGGGAAGCAGCGCTCCGGTGGGAAGGCCTCGGAGACCCGAAGGAAGAGGAATAGGGGAACGAAGAGTGACATGACATAACAACTCGGCGGTCCGCGCGGATTTCTCGGATCGGCGCTGGGGCTCCCTGGCGGCGCCTCCGGCGCCGCCCCTGGCGCGCTCCGCGCGCCAGGGAGGGGGGTCCGGCGCACATCCGAGAAATCCGCGCGGATCTCGGAGTTTCTCTGCTTATGTCATTCTTCTTTCCCCTAAGGAAGGACCCTGGACGGTGCGAGATGAGGGGATGGCGGGATGACGAGGCGGAACGGCGGGGCCGAAGGCCAGAGAAGGCGACGGGGAGAGGGGGGGAAGCGGAGGGAAGGTGTGGTGGAAAGAGGCGGGCGCGGCGGGGGAAGGCAGGACATGCACGCGGCGGACATCAGAGCGGCACAGGGGGGGCGGGGATGAGGCAGTGGCGGGGGAGGTGCCGCGCGAGGGACTGGAGGAGTCAGGCGGTGAGGCGGCAGCGGAAGGGAACACCGAGGACGAGGGGGGGGGAAGGGGAACGTTTGCTAATTCGGCGTTTCGACATGGAGCGCAAGGGGGAGTGGAAGGGGGGTACAGTGCGGGCGCGGCCGCAAGAGACCCTCGCAAGAGACCCAAACCTGGAAACCCGCGCGCGAGGTGCACCTCGGGGGAAACCCAGAGCACCCTGCACGCAGCAACTTCTTCTCAACGGCTGCGGTAAGTCACCGCGCAGCTCGCGGAACGAAGAAACCAAGGGGACCCCCGGCGAAAAGCGTTCGGTTTCTTGAGGCGCGCCCCCCCTGTAGTCTGGCTCCGGACCGCTGCTTAACGCGCCAGTTTGCAACAGTGCGTCATATGGGGGAGACTCCACCTGCTCGATGCAGGCGCCAAACACTTGTTTTGCGTCGGCGGCTAGGCAGTGTCGTCTGCGCTGGCGGAGTGAGCTAAACGAAACGGGGCCGCCGTTGTAGTGAATTGGCCGGCGTGCAAGGCCGTTGTAGCGAAGTGGCCACCAAAAACAGCCAAGATCTACTCCATGGGGGGGAGGGGGTGCGATGGCCCGCGCCGATCGGCAAAATAAGGACTAAGAAAACGACCACGAGGGGGACACCACAGCGAAGGGTGACCTGGAGCTCCTTTAGACGAGCGCGTTCCACTACTCGCAAACTAACCACTCGCAAATGGCCTGGAGCCGCCGCGGGGAGTCTACGATAAATTACATCGAAGCAGACATGTGTTTTTCGGACGCTTGCGAGTAGGCACTTTGCGAGTAGTGGAACGCGTTCGGAGCTCCTGGGCACGCGCCAGCTGTCTACCTGCGCCGATCCTGCCAGGGCCGACCCCGTGCCGGAGACGGCGCGCGCGGGCGCCCCTACCAAAACTACGAAGGCGCGCGCGCGCCCATCCTTGGTTCCCATCGCAACGTGTTTCCCCTCCTCCTCTTCCCCCTCCTTCCCCCCCCTCCTCCTCCCCCTCCTCCTCCTCCTCCCTCCTCCTTCCTCCTCCCCTCCTCCTCCTCCTCCTCCTCCTCATCCTCCTCCTCCTCCCCCTCCTCCCTCCTCCTCCTCCTCCTCCTCCTTCTCCTCCTCCTCCCTCCTCCTCCTGCTCCTGCTACCTCTTCCCCCTCCCCCTCCCCCTGCCCCTCCTCCTCCTCCCTCCTCCTCCTCTCCTCCTCTCCCTCCTCCTCCTCCTCCTCCCCCCGCTCCCCTCCAGTTCCCCTCCCTCCCTCCCTCCCTCCCTCCCTCCCTCCCGTCCCTCGCCTCCCTCCCTCCCCCCCCCCCCCGCCCTCCCTCCCTCCCTCCCTCCCTCCCTCCCTCCTCCTCCCTCCCTCCCTCCCTCCTTCACCCTCCTCCTACCTCCTCCTCTCCTCCTCCCTCCCTCCTCCTCCTCCTCCTCTCCTCCTCCTTCTCCCCCTTCCCCTCTTCCCTCTGCCGCTCCTCTCCTCCTCCTCCTCCTCCTCCTCCTCCTCCTCCTCCTCCTCCTCCTCCTCCTCTCCTCCCACTCGCCCCTCCTCCTCCGCCTCCCCGCTCCGCCTCGCCTCCTCCTCCGCCTCTGCCTCCGCCTCTCCTTCTTTTTTTCCCCCCCCCCCCCCCATTCTCCCCCCCCTCCTTCTCCTACCTCCTCACCGCCTGCCTCCTCCCCCCTCTCCTCCTCCTCCTCCTGCCCTCCGCCGCCCTCCTCCTCCTCCTCCTTTTCCTCCTCCTCCCTCTCCTCCTCCTCCTCCTCTTCCGCCCTCCTCCTCCTCCTCCTTCCTCCGCCTCCTCCTCCTCATCCTGAAACTCTTCGTCTTCTTCTGTCTTCTTCTTATTATTATTATTATTCTTCTTCCTCCTCCTCCTCCTCCTCGTCCTCCTCCTCCTCCTCCTCCACCTTCCTTATCCTCCTCATCCTTCTCCTCCTCCTCGTCCTCATCATCCTCGTCCGCATCCGCATCCTCATCATCATTCTCATCCTAATCCACATCCTCATCAGCATCCTCATCAGCATCATCATCATCATCATCATCATCATCATCATCATCATCATCATCATCATCATCATCATCATCATCATCATCCTCATCATCACCACCACCATCATCATCATCATCATCATCAACCTCATCATCATCATCATCATCATCGTCCTCATCCTCATCATCATCACCATCATCAGCATCATCATACTCAGCAGCAACATCAGCATCAGCATCATCATCATCATCATCATCATCAGCAACATCATCA